GAATCTTCTTGTCTCATGAGGGGAAATAAAAGATATACTACTGGAGAAATAATTGTAAAGGTCATAACAGTACATAGGTCCACACTAAAGGAGTGAGACTTAATTATAATATTGTAGAATGTTTCCTCTCCCTCATACCTTAAAACTTAAGCCAACAGGACTCCAGTATAATAACTGGGATTACAGCTGAAAGAACTGTAAGAAGCAGACACTCTTTGAGGAAGACTACTAGTCTAAAGTCAAGAGAGGAGACATAAATAAGGAAGCTAGAGGAATCTGAAGCCTCTGAACCTAGAGTTATAGCAAACACTAAATACAGCTCAATTTCTAGCCAGATTAGCATATATCTTCACATTAAAGGTCTATTTACCTCAGTACCTATTACTGATACAACATGTCTGGCTTTCAACAACAACAGCAATAAAATTACAAGGCACGGCAAATCAAGAAAAAAAAAGTACAGGGGGGAGGGTATAGCTCAAGTAGTAGAGCACATGCTTAGCATGCACAAAGTCCTGGGTTCAATCCCCAGTACCTCCTCCAAAAAACAAGCAAGCAAATAAATAAACCTAATTACTCCCCCCCCCCAAAAAAAAACAAAATGGCATAAGATTTAGGAAAAAAAAGGAAAAAAAAACCAGTCTGAAGAGATAAAAAGATCTTCAGAATAAGATTCCATGACGATGAACATTTTGTAAGTACTAGACAGGTAATTTAAAAGTACTATGATTAAGAAGTTAAGGGGTCTAATGAAAAAAGTAGACAACATGCAAGAACAGATGGGTAATATAAGCAGAGAGATGAAAACTCTAAGAAAGAATCAAAAGGAAATACCAGAAATCAAAAGAACTGTAACAGAAATAAAGAATGTCTTTGATGGGCTCATTAGTAGACCAGACACGGTTGAAGAAAGACTCAGAGAGATTTAAGATAGTTCAAGAGAAATATTTCGAACTAAAATGCCAAGAGCAAAAAAAAAAAAAAAAATACAAAACAGAACATCCAAGAACTGTGGGAGAACTTACAAAGTTGTAACATATGAGTAATTGGAATACCAGAAGGAGAAGAGAGAGAGAGGTGAATAAATACTTGAAGCAGTCATCATCAAGAAATTTTAAAACATAATAATATCAACCAGATCACAGACCCAGGGGGAGCCCAGAAAATATCCAACATGATTATCATGTCAAAAATGCAACAACTAGGCATAATACATTCTATATACAGAAAATCAAAGATGAGAAAAATCTCAAGAGAAGCCAGAGGAAAAAATACATTACCTGCAGAAGAAGATCAAGGATAAGGATTATCGCCAACTTCTTGTAAGAAAAGCACAAACAAGAAGAGAGTGGGATGAAGTACTTCAAGTGTTGAAAGAATAAAAGCATCAATTTAAATTTCTATGTCTAGTAGAATTATCCCTTAGTGAAGGAGAAATAAAAATTATCAGACAACCAAAAGGTAAGAGAATTCTCTGCCAGCAATTTTATTTTTATTCTATATTGGTATAACTATAACTGTTTAGAATGCATTGGGTTATTATAGCTGGAAATGGATTAGTGAAATGAATGATAGCAATGTTATAAGAAATGGGAATGAGGAATTGGAAATACTGTTAAAAACATTGTAAACTGACTATACTTCAATAAAAAAAAAATACCTTAACATATGAAGTGGTATATAATGTTACTTGAAGGTGATCTTAGATTAGTTTAAAATGTATATATGAAACTAGTTAAAAATATGTGTTCATATGTTTAAGAGTGACCTTGAGTTTGATGATGAATTTATAATGACAGCCTCAAAAATTTGATCTGTAAAGGAAAAAATTCATAACTCAGGCTTACTAAAATTTAAAATGTCTATGCTATGAAAGACCCTACCAAGAGAATGCAAATACAAATCACAGATGGGAGATAATGACTACAAAACATACATCTGATAAAGGACTGGTATCTAAAATACACAAAGAACCCTTAAAACTCAACAACAAGAAAATAATTGACTGGATTTAAAAATGGACAATGGGCCTGAACAGAATCTGCACTAAAGATATACTGATGGTAAGTAGCACATTAAGAGATGCTCAACACAATTTGTCATTACAGAAATGCACACTAAAGCAATAGTGAGATACCACTATACACTGATCCAACTGGCTAAAATTTATAGACTTAAACAATACCAAATCCTGACAATTATGTACAGCAGTAATTATTCTTATTGCCAGAATTTAAAATGGTACAGACACTGGAAGACAGCCTGTCCTTTCTTACAAATCTAAAAACAGTTTCACCATACTCTTCAGCAATCATGAGCCCATATATTTATCCAAATGAAATGAAAACTTAGAGCATATAAAAATGTACACACAAATGCCTACAGCAGAATTTCTCATAATCATCAAAAACTGAGAGCAATTTTAGATGACTCTGAATAGGTTAATTGATAAATTGTGGTACACCCATACAATATAGAATATTATTCAGTAATAAAAAGGAAGAACTCTCAAGCTGCAAGAAGAAGTAGATGAATGTTAGATATCTATTGGTGTGAAACAAGTTTCTCTGAAAATGCTATGTACTTTTTGATTCTAACTATATGATATTGTGTAAAAAAGGCAGAATTATTGAGACAGCAAAAAGATCAGTGGTACCAGAAGGGAGGGTAGAAGGAAGAGGACTGAATAGGTGAAACACCGGGGATTTTTTTAGGAAATTGCAATGATCTCTATGATATTAAAATGGTGGACACATGACATTATTCCTTTGTCAATATCCATAGAATTCTTGAGCCAGAAGAGTAAACCTTAATTTACAGAATATTAAAAAAGTATCTTTTGGGAAGGAGAGAGGTGACAGATTGGAAAGCAGAATTTGACAAACATATAACTATTAAAATGTATGAAACAATCTCACTGAAGTGGGTGACAGAAATAAGCTTAACTAAGTAACTTTGGAATTGAAAGGAGACTGTAAGATTGGAAGCAACAGGAACTGCAGTAAGCAGCACAGTACTCCAGTTAATAAGGTTTTTTCTTTCACAGGGGTACAGCTTCACCATTCTGATAACACTATACGTGTATACTGCAAATGAACAATTACATAAATTGGTGGTGGATGGTGGAAGCCAGAGTTTTCACTGTTTGAATAAGAGTTTACAAACAAGGTGAGAAAGCTAGAATGAGCCATGTGGTCATGTCTTTAAGTGGAAGACATCAGTATGAATTCATGTTTAGCTTAATATAGATATGTGTGTTCACATACAGAAATATTTACAATTAGGTGGATACATATGAGCTATATTTCCTTGCTCTGTCAACTGAGAGGGCCTGGGAGCAACAACTCCCCAGAAGCAACAAGCAAACCTAGCATCCATATCTTGATTATGAATGTAATTCTTTAATAAAAGTTAACACATTAATCAGTTAAATATAGGTCAAAATTGTAATACCATATTTTGTATTTCCAGGATTCTCAAAAAAGTGTATTTAAACTGTGTTTTTAAAAGCACTTTTCAAGGATAAAAAGGTCATTTTTTTCAAGACTAGTTCCCCAAACTACTAATCTTCAGAAATACCTCCACATTCCCACATGTCTGTTTGCTACCATGAACTACTGAAGAGAGGATAAATAAAATATATGGTGTCACTGAGGAACCTTAGTTTTCAGTAAAATAATCTTTGTTCAAATAAAAATGCATGAAAATATCTTGTTAGTATACCATAAGGAATCACTAAATAAAGATTTTCTTTGAGTAAAATCTCAGTTATTCAATAGGCTATATTCAATGTTACAATCCCTTCTATAAATTTGGCAGGATATTTAAGGAGAAATGCTTCCTCCAAATTTGGGAAACTTTTTTATCTGATGGTTGGGTTCTAGTTAGATTCTGGTTCTTACCAGAATAGTTCAAGCCAAATGGAAAAATTTTGCAAAACATACAGGCATATGGCATTAATATTAGAATTTGGGTGTAGAGAGGACTGAAAAACATCCCTTTCGAATTCTAAGTTTTAGACAACTTAGTACACAAATCAATCAAGAATTAATGACCATGTATGAATAAAAAGTAAGTTCTCTCTTAGGGAAAAAAAATCCTATTACCCCCACTATGCCAGGTATTTTCAATGGCTCTATTGAAAAATTTCTCACTTACCTATATAAGCTGAAAAGTTCTGTACAACATGGTAGAGCTCTGAATTGCTATCATAAATTGAGCGAGCTTGTGTCTCAGGCTACACTACCTGGAGACTGATATACTGAGATGAAGAGAATGAGACAGAGCTGGGCATAGCAGAGAAATGTCTACCCTTCATCTCCTCACCACATAAAAAACAAAAGCACAAATCAAGTCCACAGCCTGAAACCTAGCATGCCAAGCATACAGGTTGCCATGCCATACACAAATATATTAAATAACTTAAATATGTGTAACAGAAAAATAAGAGGTTTTTATGAATCTGTTGCCCAAAATTAGGAATTCCTTTTCTCATACGTAAAGCAGACAGAGGCTGTTAAGGACACTATAAAAAACACTTCAGTATTTCTATAACAGTATAGGTTTCTGAAAGACATAATTATTAACAGAGTTTATTAACTAATCAAACTTGATATCCTCTTTATTTTGGCAAGGAGAGAGAAGAGATAATACCAGGAGTCTGAGGAGATGATCAATATATCTAATACCTATGTATTTCCTTCTTTGGCCCGAAATGTAATTCAGAACAAGATAAATAGAATCAAAATCTGAAGTTGCTGATTTAATGCCTAGATAATAGTGCACAGACACAAGAGAAAACATGAAAACCTGTTACCCTCAGCTTGGTTTAAAACTTAACATTTGGCCTGGAATTCTGCCTGAAAAATCCATAATAAGGACAAAAAGTAATCTGGTGTAGCACAAGTGACCTCGCCAATATATGCTGAAAATCTGGTATATAGAACTCTGCTTATTTGAATTGAGTTTTAAAGTTTTTCCTTTAAAAATTATTTACTTACTTCTGTATTGTCATTCCAAGAAACTCCAACCTAAACAGGACAGAGTCACACACAGGAGGTTCACCAACAGCCTTCGCAGGGGGCGTGCCTCCACTCTGGTGCTAGCTCCAAGTAGACGCAAGCATCAATTCTCAGCCAGTATGATGGCATGTGCTAGATCTACATGCTTACTTAACGTTTTCCCCATCCTGGTTTTAACCTGTATCATGGAAACAAAAGAAGACAAGGGGAATCAGTTACCAGCTTTACTAGTTGTTCTCTAACTCAGCACAATTGAGACTATAGCTGGGACATTAAGGCTAAAGAGGGGCCCTCAGACTACTTTTCACAATATATACATTTATATGTGTCAACATGTATTCACAACACATGGTCATGGTCCAACCATGGAACACCATGGAGACACCCATCTGAGTTTCTTGAGCTTGGACAGGTCCCACCACATAAGATGATTATATTTACATTACTCTGTGACTGTCCTCAAAGGATGATTGAACTACCTTAAGCTAGCTCATATATGTGGAATCCTCAAAAAAAAAAAAAAGACACAAATAAACTTACTTACAAAACAGAAACAGACACACAGACATAGTAAACAACTTGTGGCTACCAGAGGCGGAAGGCGGTGGGAAGGGATAAAGGGAATATGAGATTTGAAGATACCAACTACTATATATAAACTAGATAAACAATAAGTTTCTACCATAAAACACAAGAAACTGTATTCAATATGTTGTAATAACCTATAATGAAAAAGAATATGAAAAGGAGTATGTGTATGTATGACTGAACCATTATGCTGTATACCAGAGATTGATACAATACTGTAAGCTGACTATACTTCAATAAAAAAAGACAATAGTTTTTTGACTATTCAGCCATAAAAACAGACAACATAATGCCATTTGCAACAACATGGATGTTCCTGGAGAATGTCATTCTAAGTGAAGTAAGCCAGAAAGAGAAAGAAAAATACCATATGAAATCACTCATATGTGGAATCGAAAAAAAACAAAACAAAACGTAAATACAAAACAGAAACAGACTCATAGACATAGAATACAAACTTGTGGCTGCCAAGAGGGCAGGGGGTAGGAAGGGACAGATGGGGATTTCAAAATGTAGAGCAGATAAACAAGATTATACTGTATAGCACAGGGAAACATATACAAGATCTTATCGTAGCTCACAGCGAAAAAAATGTGACAATGAATATATATATGTTCAGGTATAACTGAAAAATTGTGCTCTACACTGGAATTTGACACAACATTGTAAAAATGATTATAACTCAATAAAAAAAAAGTTTTAAAAAAAGGCAATAGTTTTTTGGTTTTATTTTAATAAGGCAAAATTTTAAATTGAACACATTATATTCATAGGTAAACATCAGGCCTGGAATTTTTTTTTTAACGAGTTGAATATAAAGAGAATCAGGAAGAAGATAAATAGAACTACAACTTGAATGTAAAACATAACAGTACTCTAACCCTCCAAATTATGTCTTTGAAACAGATCACTGCTAATCAAAATGGAAAACAATATATAGAAAATGTGGGGCCCTCCAAAAAAGCTGCTATGATGTTTAGGCTAAAACTTGATAAATTATAAGTGCTTTATAAAGGTACTTTTTAGTTTTTAAAAATGCAAGTAATTCTCTGTATAATCATCCATAACCTTATACTTTATAGATCAGTCATTTACTGGACACATTTCCTAGTTGTAGACATAAAGTGAAAAACTATGGGATTGAGCTACTGCTATGTCACAAATTTGCTTAAGTAAATTCACTTTCTGTGAGCTCTGTTTGCTTCATCTATAAAAGATCTAGACCAAATGACCTAAGGTTTTTCCAGCTATAAAATCCCCAAAGCTTAATCTCCAATTTACTTAATGCGTAGGAAAATTTTTTAAAAATGAGTTCTGTCCATCTAATCACTATTGTATAGTCAACCAAAAATTGCACATTTCATATTTATTCTAGGCACTGACAGTAGTTTTCATATGCCATGATATTTACAAGTAAGAAAAAATTCAATGTGTTGAAGTCAAAGATCACACAGGATCATTATTAACATAAAGATATATGACTTGGCTCTATTCGTAATTATATCCACAGGTAGATAAACATGAAGAATGATCTTTTATGTGTCTCTGATGTTAAAGTTACATTAAGTCCTTCTATGGCAGTATAATATAAAATGTTTTTTTTTCTTTAAACTGATGATGGCAAAGGGAAAATAACAATAACAATAAGATAATGATATACCTTACAGTTGGAAGAATGATTTATCCATGGTTTTAAAGCTGTTCATGAAGAAACACATATGAATTCTTATTTTTAATGAATAGTAATTTAAGATAATTTAAAAATCAAAATAAAAACTATTATTTTAAAATATCAACTGAAATCTTGGTTAAAAAATTATTAATATGTTGTTCACTCCTAGCTTCAATATTACAATTTTGTTTCTTATTAACCAGGAGTTAGGTAAGTTGAAGTCAGATGTTTTACAAGCAGGAAACATTACAGGCAAAGGCACAGAGGCTCAAAATGTCCAGACTATAAGGCAAATATAATTGGGAATAATGCAGGTTGCTGAAGGGAAGGTAGTATGAAGCCAAGACCTCTGAAGTTAGAAAAACTAAGGATTTTCATTTCTATTATCCATGCTGTGGAAAGTATATGCAATATGAGCAGACATATGAATCCTGGTTTCCTCATCTTTGAAAGAGAAATAATAGTAATTATTCCATTGAGATATTAAGAATTAAACAGGATACTGAAGGCAAAGTATGTCATATATTTCCTGGCAAGTAGTAGGTTCTCAGTAAATGATAACTGTGATTATTAAACAAATAGATCTTACAGAATTGTGTATCATTATTAAAGAGAAAATGGAAAAAAGAATTATTTCATGGCTCTCAATGTAGGACAGTTTGGATGAATATATGCATATATTCTATACGTATAGGTTAAGTTCTCAGCACGTGGGGTTATTGGGGAGAAGAGCTGCAAAAATATAACCTCCCAAACTAAGAGAAGGAAGAATGCTATCTGAGATTTAAGCATTTAAAGCAGCCTAAGAGGTCTAAAGCCAAGAAGATTTTGCAGTTTGGTTTGAATTCATTAAAATGGATAAAGAAAGCAGTCAATCACCGGACGGGTGTAAGTCACCTATGGAAACTGAGGCGCAGATGGGTCCCTAAGTTATAAATCTGTATTCTCTTCAAGTGCAATTCCAAGTCCTGAGACAGGGAGGAAGCCCGGGCAAGTGAAATTGCCAATTCCATTGACAGGACTTCCTATCATGAAAATGCCTGTGTCCATTTATTTTAACCTGGTAGCATTAAATTTTCTAATCATTTAACTCTTTTTTTCTGACATTATATATACCCAGCTATCATGGGACTATATTTTCTTTTTCCATATAGATGTGCCTCTGGGGGAAAATATGTCCTAGCCATGCTGGAGTAAGAATTTTATTTCATATATCATACTTATTATAAATTAATAATCTAACATTCTGATTGTTCTGATTGCATTTTAGTTGTTACGGTTAAATTATGTCTCCAAAAAGATACGTTGAAATCCAAACCCTAGCGATTGTGAACCTGACCTTATTTGGAAATAGGAACTAGGGTCTTCGCAGATATAATCAAGTTTTAAGAAGAGGATATGTGGGATTAGGGTGCGCTCTAGTTCAATGATTAGCATCCTTACAAGAAGAGGAAATCTGGACATAGAAAGACACAGGGTTATACAGGGAAGACCTCCATGTGATGACAGAGGCAGAGACTGGAGTAATACATCTACAAATAAAAAAACACCAAGGATTGCTGGCAACCACCAGAAACCGAAAGAGGCATGGAACACACACTCCCTCAGAGCTCTCCAGAAAGAACTAAACTTGTCAACTCCTAGATTTTAAACTTCTAGTCTCCGAAATTGTGAGATGATACATTTTTGTTGTTTTAAATCACTCACATTGTGAGACTTTGTTATGGAAGCTCTAGGAAATTAATGCAATAGCCAAAGGAAATCATTTATTTCCCTATGCCCTGTAATTTAAAACGACTTTTTATCATACACATTTTTTTTTCACGTGTTGGTTTGGCTTTATATATATATTGGATCAAACATTTTTAACGATACTTTTCTTAGACATTACTTTTGGAAACATTTTAAAGAAGACTCATGGAAATGAACCTATTCTGATTAACAACTTTCAGTTAAAGAATGTGAGATTTTTCATAGTTGATCCTTTGTGGCTACTGTGTGATGTGTTACTGCCCTGAATGCTGTGTATGTGTATCACTTGCAAAATCATCCCAATTCTTGTTGAAGTAGGAACTAATACTTCAATTGTTGCCTTCAAACCTGGATCTATTTCTTAGCACAACAGAGCAATAAGTGTGTCTGTGTGTGCTGTTGAAGAAGCTATTAACTGAGAAATGTTCAAATATGTTTTTTATTTCGATTCTGTAGCTGCTAACTAAATTCGAGTGCATACTGTTGTTATTTTAGTAAGAAATGATGAAACACATCATCAATAAAAGTTAAAGGAACAAGGTGAATCAATCTAATGGGAGAATCTAAATCTTTCCAGGGATCTATCTAAGTCCATTAAAAAAGCACCCATTGATAGGTAACAGCAGGGGATTAAAGACTGAAGCAGTTTACTGCAGGCTATGAATGACCTGATCCCTTAATCCATCTGTCTTTTTATATGAGAATGCTATGCTAATTAGCTGCGTAAATTGTTTCCTGATGACATTAATTTTGTGCCTTTTTGTTATTCTAGGCTTTGACTTTCACTGTGATAAAAATATACTACGGGACATTTCCAATTTAGATGGTTCTGATCCTGATAAATTCCAACACAGAAGCAATGTTGTGGGGAAATATGCATAAACAGCAAACTTAATCAATCCTGGGGATAGACACAGAGGACTTTGGCTTCCTATATAATCGTTCCCTTTAGCTTCGAAAGCATTACATTAACACACTTGAAATGTTGAAACATAATTCAAGGAGAACTTTTAGCAAATGCAATTTTCATTGCTCCATTTTCTTTGGTGAAATTCAAGACCTGAATATTAACATAGAGAAAGTAATGGAACAGATAGTCGTGATGTGAAATCTTATTAGTAAACAAGAGCTGCATCTGAAAAAATATTGTCATTAAAAGCTATGTAGTAGTTAATTGAGTTTGATATGAAATTTAGTGCTGGAAAGTTAATGACTAATGCAGCTATTTCACAGAGCTTGGTTACTGCAGACTCCATAATGATCTCCTTTTGCTTCGGAGCAACAATGAAATTAACCTCTCTTTTGTCCTGCAGGTGTTGTGTTCTGATAATGCATATCCCTTACAAGTTTGGGTAAATTATTTGCTTTGCATATAAATTAACCCTAAAGCTGAATCAATATTAGAATAATGAAAATGTAGGGAATATTTTTATTCTAAGGAAACAAAGATTTATAGCAAAGTATATCAAAATCCTAGGTC